TACTACTACTTAGTAGGCTTTGCTGCTATGCAGTTAAATTAATGTGGTGGGCTTATTCTTTTCTGAAGTCTAGTTTTAAGAATAGTGGAAGTTACACTTGTTTTCTTCCTCCATTTCCGGCGCCCCCTGGATGTAGGCGCCCTTAGCATTAGCCTACACTGCCTATGCCACGGGCCGGACCTGACTCGAAGCATCAGAGGCTGAAACATCCTGAGTTTTACTGCGCTTCAGAAACACTGGAGCCTAGACTTCCCATAATGCATCTCGAGCATCCTTTACTAGACCGAAGATATCTGGTAAATGCCCATGTTTTCTCAAACTGGATACATTTTCTGTTAAAGGGGCACTCCACCGATTTTAAACATGAGCTTCAGTTGAGTTCAAGAGGACTGTTCGGTAGCCTGATGTGTTCTGTGCTTCCCAGAAAATTACTCAGCTTGCACCACACATTTATAATAGTAGTTACACTGCTGATGTAAAGTTTTAGCAGCCAGGCAAGGTCTAATGAAAGATGCAACTGAGTTGTATTATGGGAAATGTGTTTTGGAGTCTGATTCAAACTAGACTCAAAAGGTCAGGATATCTCAGCCTCTGCTCGGCTCAGGTTCTGGATATTTTGGTGCAAAACTGCAACTGACTGAGTTTAGACTAATTGATTGTCATTATAATAATTTCCTAATACATTAGATTTTAAAATGTGATTTTATTCAGCTTCATTCCACTTCTGTCCTGTGTCATTAGTACCTTTACATGAACACTAGTCCCTGAGTTTTAATCATATTGAAAATATGATATAGGACATAGCCTGGTTTTTCATTACACTGTATGATTTTAACATTATCTCATCAGCAGCGATGTCCCTGTCCAGGAGTAAATCAGCAATGCAGCCAGAGTTAGTTAAAGAAAGCAACTTGTGTGTCTCATTTTTACACAAAATCAACATTTTGATTCATAATACTGTATTTTTATTTTTATTATTCCATAGAACAAGGGGTTTAATTTACTTTTATATGGGTAAGTCTCCAGCCTGGCCACCCCATCCATAATTTTTTAGATCCGCCCCTGGCTCTAGCTTCATATTTATGGTATAAACATAAAAGCGGTGTAGAATTTCTCATCCAACTTTTGGAGAGAAGATTAATAAGATATATATTCCCAGAATGTCAAAGGTTAGACATGGACTATATTTACTTTCTCACTCTTCAGTAATAAAAAAGTACGTAAAAATGAGTGGTGTCATTAAACATGCTGCCCTTTCTGACAAAGTGCAAAAGCAGCTGCAGAAAAAAAATGACAAAACCGATACCCACCCGGCCTGTTAAACGAGTTTCATATAACGCCTCTTAACTTTCACATGCATCAGTCATACTTTTGGTACTTCAAAAGTAAAACAATAAACCTTTTTCTTTGGACAAGGATGTGGTGGTTATGGCTGAGGTTAGAGGAAGTCTTCAGGTCATGCGTGTAAATCAAAGCAGTGTCCTCCTACCTGACAAAGTCACGTTTGTGTGTGTGTAGCTGTCTGTGGTGGCACCTTTTTTTTCCAGGTTGTGACACACACCTTTACGCCTGCTCAGAGGGGATGGCAGAGAAAACGACAGAAAGGGAGGAGTAGGCATTCATGGCATCTGTGGCCTGACTGGACTCCAGGCATGTAAACGCACTGGAGCCTTTTAGTACACTTGATCTATAAACAGACAGAACAGACAAGTGAAATACAGAGGACTGGAAACAGCGGCTTTGAAACTGGAGCAGGACGGTAGGAATCCGCTTGTTTCGGTGTCTGTAATGTACATTTTCTGTGCTTTAGAAAAGAGCTGGCTGCTAGGGTATGTAGCTAACAAAGAAGAACTTAAGCTCACAGGGATGTTTCTGGTATTGTCTGTTCACACTCAGTTTCACTGCACCTCTTCTTTCTTACTTAGAAACATGCTACTGTGGTACTTCACATGTGATTTGTATTCACTACCACTTCACTAATGAATTAGAGATTATATTTGAAGCTTTGTACGTTTTTAAGTTATGCAATCGTACAGTACAATATGCCCAGTATGATTTTTGCACAAGTGGTGTGGAGAAGCCTTCAGAACATCTACACCCACAAACTGGATGAACCAGTAATGTCAGCAGTGAGTACAGCATCAGGTGGTTGTTTGTTTCAGATGCTTAATATCTGTAGCATAAAGAGGACAAAGACAAACTGAATCACAAAAGGATACTGGTTATAAACACGTTTTGTGTCTAATAATTATCACGAAGTACACTGCGGAGGGATTTACCAGTGTGGCTGTGCATGTTTCCTGCAAACGTTCCTGTCAGAGAGACCAGGTGCAGAAGATTTCTCACTGCTTCCTTAGTGCATTACACTCATATTTGTTCTTTGTCAGCTCATCAAGGCTTGAATCTGACCATTTAATTATATGTTACAGTAGTAACCTAACACATCTGCCAACAGCCTATTAGAATAAACATGGTTGATCTTCTTGTTTACTCTATATGTTTGTGTCCCTGAAGGTTGTGATCTAGCCAGCAGCATTAGACTTGTCCATCACATATGGATGGATTATGAGACACTGGGCCCCTACCCCTCCTCTACACCCCTAAATGCAACTCACAGATTGAACAGCCACATGATATATAGTCAGTTTGTGTGTTCTTTTAAATCAGGTTTTAGCCATTTGGTGTCCCTTTTGAATTGTTTTTCACCTGTTTTTACTTGTTTTGTATCTATAATTGTAGTTGTTTTGGCGTCTGTTTTAGTAATTTTATATCTCCTCTCAGTGGTTTTGTATCTCTTTGTCGCTGTTTTACATCTGTTTTTCCTCATTCTTATAGAAACGTTGTAGTGTTTTGACTGACTTTACAAACAGAAAGGTTAACAGTCCTTTCATGGTTCTCTGATCTAGGGGACTCATGGCACCTTGGGCCCCCGGGCCTGTCCCCAGTCGGCCTGTTCAGTAATCAATCCACGCATTACCAATTTGTAGAGGGCCCCTGTGTCAAAATCTCATTTTAAAGCCTTTATTATTTCAGCATTTAGCTGCTGAGCCACACACTCAGAATCTAAAGGCCATAAATGACATTAGGGATAAGGGACAAGTCAAATCCATCACTTGTGTTGATGGGGATGGCTTGTGTAAGTGGAGATGCACTGTTGCATTCTGTGAAAGATAACACATTCACATATTTACACTTATGTATCACAGCATCTGAAATGAAAACAATGTCCTGTTAAGTGATAGGTAACAAGAACATTCCTAACATCTTTTTGTAACCATATACAAAGAGAAGGACGACACAGTGATGCAGTGCAGTCGCACAATAATGACTGGTTGTGTTACAGCTTCAGATTTTGCTCTTACGTATTTTAAAAGTTCAAATATTAGTGAAAGTTAATTCTGTTACTATTAAATCCCACAGCTGCCCATCCCCCCCAAGGGCAAAATACATGATGAATTCCATTATCACCAGCACCTATGAAATCCCACAACCAGTCTCCCAAGACCTACAACCAGCTTCCCAAAACCCACAACCAGCCTCCCAAGACCCACAACCAGCCTCCCAAGATCTACAACCAGTCTCCCAAGACCTACAACCAGCTTCCCAAGACACACAACCAGCCTCCCAAGACCCACAACCAGCCTATAAAGGCCTGAATGGATTGATGGTAAAATGGATTTCTATAAAGAGAATTCCACAAAAGTCACCTTTACTGTAATTAACCTCGGGCCTTCGTCTTTTAGGAACCTTGAAAGTTGATCTGTGCTTACTGTAGATAACAGCTTCACTTCTCATACATTACCGAGACACTGGTGTGTTTCTTTTGCAGCCTGCTGTCACAGATGGGAGCCAAGCAGAGGTCAAAGCCAAGCCTGTACCTCGTCCCAGGTCTATATTATATCCAAAAGCTCAGAGCAATAACAGCACTGATGACTCTGTAGACAAAACTAGCAATACAACCAAAGCAGTGGTGAGTCGAGCAGCTTTGGTTAAGATTAGCTCATGACAGCAAGCAGCATATATTCAGTTTTTTCATGACTTCTTTTTATCAGAGTTCCAAAAACAGTGGTGACCCTGCAGTCCACAAGAAGCCTCATCCTGTTCGTCCTCCACCTCCCAGACTACCAGTGAGCAAACACATGACCTCTAGTAAACCCAGAGCAGCAGTTGACACAGACACCCAATATACAAGTTCAAATACTGGGCCAACTGTAAAGGTGTATGATGTTATAAACAAAATAAGAAGCTTTATGTGCTCTTTATAAGTTTCTAACATTTATGCTGTTACTACATCAGTTTAGCAGACACCTCTGTCCAAAACAGTTTATATTAAGTCCATTAAACTACATCAGAGCAAGAGCGAGATATCACTGAAAACTGGTAGTGAAATCCTCATAAACAGTTCAGTGCTACAGTACAAGTCTTTAAAGATTTACCATGAATATTATTAAAAGTCAGAATATACACGTATATTGTTACATTTTCTCAACCTTGTGTGTTGTCATTAATGGAAATGGATATTGGCTGTTGTGGTGCTTGAAGAAACTACAGCTTTGTTTCTCCTTAACCTTAGCCTGCAGCTGTTAGTATTGAGAAAATACAGAACCATCCTCCCCGGCCTGAACGCCCCCCTCCTCCCTCCATCTATCACGATAGACTAGGTCCTGCAACAAGGACACAGTCGAAGGTAAGGGCTAATGTGTCACATCATACGATTGAGCACAGCTAGAAAACAACTGATTAAGTGGAAGTAGCACGTGTCACATCATACGAAAACAACTGATTAAGTGGAAGTAGCAACTCTCCTTCGACTCACCTTTTCCTTATTTGTCAAATGTGTTTTCTTTCCATCGTATTAATATTTTCTTGTACAGACCTGCACTGAGGAGTCTCAGCAGCCCATCAGCTCTGAGCAAACTCCAGGCTCACCAGCTCTCTCTAAAGAAGTGGAGGACCTCTGTAAGGCCTCTGTGGGAGACATGGTAATGTCTTAAAGTCCTGTAGTATAGGCACAGTGTTTTCTGTGAGTTGGGACAATAAAGGTTTTATTTTACTGTGCTCAGGCCTTTGGTTATTAATCCACCTCAACAAACAACAGTATGAGAGTTCATGAAACCACAATGTGACTGTCTGATTTTCAGGCCACTGGCAGACCTGCAGTTCCACCTCGACCCAAGTCCTCCCTTCGCCGCTCTGCCTCGATGAATGAATTCTCTCCTCCACAGGTATGATAGTAGCTGCAGAACTGACAATACAGGCGATGAACTGAGCTATGACAGGTACCAGAACAACAACAAACAATGCAGAAACACACACGTTTGTGATGGACTATCAGACATGTAAAAATTCATCTCTTTCCCCCACATTTAAGATTTTTCACTCAAAGTCACAATTGTCAAACACATGAGGAAAAGTCAGTGGGATTCATTGTCTGGCCACTGACTCTGTCTGTTTACATTTACAAACAATACACATAGTCAGATAAAATGTAAGAATTTGAAGAAATACTGTTGTATTTGCGGTACAGCTAATTGAATTGATGTTTGGTTCCATTACAGATCAGACCAACCCCGTTCAGCCGAACACCTCAGCCTTCAATGGAGTCAGTGTACAATCAGCCAGAACATCGTACCAACCTGGGAGTTCGGCCTGTCAAAGAAGATAAGATGATGGTAAACCCACAGCAGCATCAGACAGAGACATTCAGTGTAGACGTTCAAATATTGGGCTAACAGTGAAGTCTGGGACATTTTAAACAAAACAAGACGCTTCATTTACTCTTTAAAAGATCACTTCATATGTGCTGTGGAGAGGTGGATGGCCTTATGAAACCAGCAGCCAGCGTCTCATTGATGTATGTTTCCATGCCTTCCTTCAAAGGGGCTGACAGTGGGTAGAGCCATGCTCTGGGGGTACAGTAGCAGGTAGAAGGTATATGGGGCAATCGTAGGGCCTGTGTGGAGGAAGCAAAGTTGCACGCTTCTTATTAAGCACCTTTCTTGGATACCTGTATTGAGGTGGTACTCCAGAGGGGTCAGGGAGGATCTTGTGAACCGACATAGATGGACAGGTGGGAGGAACAGTGGACTTCAGGTACAGAGAAAGACAGTGGGTACTCCAACCCAAGATTTTGTCTGTGACCCAGTGCCTGTGTTTGGGTCCCTATGAAGGAGGGAGAAGGACTGTCCACACCACTGGTGTGGCTCCTCAGTGACCTCTCTACCACTGAGGAGCTGGGTCTTTTAGTGGGTAGTTAATGATGAAGAGACTGGGTTGACCAAAGTAGAAGCACAGGTGAAGCCTCCTCTGCCTGTTCCTCTCCTCCTCTGAAAGTTGTGAACACTCTATATGGATAGGCTCCTCCCAGTCCTGCAGAGCAGGGGACAGGTAGGAAGGTGATGAAGGCAGAGGAGAGGATACTAGAGGCGCTAGTGTGGGTGAGGCAGCTATGGGCTTGAACTGTTCCCATCGCTGGGGGCCACAGACCTAGGGTTGCTCTACCTGTCTCTCTCTGCAACCTTAGAAGTATATAAAGAGAACATTATGAAATACAGCCCACAGAACAGGTATGACCAGGAACCTGAAAAGTATTAAGCAATGTGTCCCTGGAAAAAAATGTTGGAATATATTAAATATTTAACCGCAATGTGAATGTCTGATTTTCAGGCCACAGACAGACCTACAGTTCCAACTATGTTCAAGCATTCCTCCCTAACCCGCTCCGCCATATTGCATGCATCGTGGCCTCCACAGGTATGAGAGTAGCTGTAGAGCTCACAGTAAGGTGTTGAACTGAGCTGTGACTGGCAAAATAACATAGTTAATGCATAAGTTTGTAAGAATTAATCTTTTTTAGAACTTTTCTGTCGACATGAAACACAGTTTTGGCAAAGCACAGGATATGCACTTGAGGAATGGTGCCACCACATTTGATGCACAATGAGTGAAAGAGAGAGAGAGTGAAATGTAGATACAAGTGTAAAATAAGAAATCTAAACTTAGAAGTTGATATAATAATCAAGTGAATATTAAAGTTGCTGTCATTATTGTTTCTGTAGAAAAATCTGTCTGTTGCTGAGCTCCAATTTTCTCGTGAGAGTTGGAAATTAGTTTCCTGCACCCTTATGTCATTAGAAATGAAGTAAGACTAATCTGATCCATGAATGCTCCGACTATTCACTGTATAGTTTCACTCACAAGCACAACATCAGAGTTTCCTTTACGCCATCCCCTTGAAAGCCTCATGCTGTTTTATTTGTAGTACAGCTAAAAAATGAGCTGATATTATTGTCTGTTAAAGACCAGACCACCACCACCCTTATTCAAACCACCACCTCCACCTTCAACTGAGTCACTGTACAGTGAGATAGAGGATCGCCCCTACCTGGAAGTCCTGCCTGTGGAGGAAGATAAGATGATGGTGAGACAGACATTATATTCTGTACATATAAAATATAAAAAGCCATACACTTTAAAGTTAAGTACATATGAATTATTCATCAGTAATTCATCTATGTTTGTTAAACTCTACCAGAAACAAAAGAGGTCATCATGGCCTCATTCTGGACGCTACCAGAGTGGCTTATCTGTACATCAGCGGCCCACAGAGGATTCAGATGTAAGGCTTTTCCTCTTTACTTGCCCCCTCTTCCCCTCCCAAATCAACTTTAATTTAGCACCATATTTCTGAAAAGGGTTGTTTCCAGTCTCATAGGAAAGGTTCCTTTTATTTATTTTACTATAACACTGCTTCTAAGACACAGTGACTGTTTCCGCAAAGTGTTTCTGACAAGAAAATGATGTTTTCCTCAGGACATCAATGGGATGTTGAGGTGGCTGAAAAAAGTGTCAAGTAAGTGCATGTTTTGTTTTCTAGATAAATAACGTATCATTGTGAGAGAAGCAACCGGCTTTGTGTCATTTCTATATTCCTTTTATATTGTTTGAATTTATTTTTTAAGAAATGTGTATTACATAAAGAAATAAATCAGTAGTCATGTAAAACTGCACAAATGCGTAGGTGTTTCAGTAGCAAAGCGCATGATAAACGTGTCCACTTTCTAATCTGTGTGCTGTCATTCTAACAGAACCTGATTACATGACTCCATCACTGTACGGCCTCAGTATAGAGGAGGAAATCAGGTAACTGCACAAAGGAATTCCTTCATGAGACCTGCTGATGTTATTTTTGTTCCATGTCACAAAATCTTTATAAATTTAAAGTGTATTTTACATCTTCTCAGAGAAAATGCTGCTGCAGAGTATGTTAATTAGATGTACATCTAAAGTTTTACAGCATGGAATTAGCAACAAGTTGACTGTGGAAGTTAACGGATTAAAATATTTCAGAGCGAATAGAAAATGCAAGTGCATGTGCTGGATAAAGATGCCTCTCCTGTCACTGCCCCTGTGCAGATTGTTTAATCAGAGAGCCATGGATTTGAGCAAGGCCCTGCGCCTCTACAACCTTCTCATGATGAAACGCCATGAATGCTTCCGGAGCATCATCACAGAGTTCGTCTCCATCTCTGACAGCCTGGACAAGATGCAGAAGAAGACCAAGACTATGGACATCGCTGGAGGCACCACAGGCGCTGTGGGAGGGGTCACGGCAGTGGTGGGTATCGCCTTGGCTCCTGTGACCCTGGGTGCCTCACTGATTGCTACAGCTGTGGGTGCTGGGATGGTGGCGTCTGCTGGGGGTATGAGCGTCCACACTGCTAAGGCCAACAGGAAGATTGTGAATAGGATGACAGTTGAGAAACTAGTATATGACTATAAGTCAAACGTAGTGGACCTGGAACACTGTCTGGACTTTATCCTCTCTGGGATGAATGAGCTGCGAAGGCATGACATTCCCAGGTTACACAGGGCAGGAGCCCAGGCTGACTCACTGAAGATGGCACATCTGTCACAGTCTGTGTTTAGGATTAACATGAACCATAGCAACAAGACCTCTGTTGCACACACAGGCAGGATGTCATCTGAGAAACTGCTGCTGGACTTTGTCAAAGAGATGGATCAGTATTTTACAGAAAAGGATAGTGGGAAGCTGAAGAAGTTAAGCAAGAGCAAGTTTTCAGGTCGGGTTCGCCTGCTGGCCAAGAATCTACAGGATGAACTCGAGCACCTGAATCATATGTGGGAAATGTTCAGCTGAAGCATTGTGTGTTTGTGAGAGAGACAAATTATTTAATTTATGCACTTATTGTAATTAAATGACATATTTAAATGTTAATAAACAATTTAACTGTAAAACCGACAGTGTGAGTTACTAAAGCCAGTATTTAAGAGTAGTTCAAGTTCAAATGCCAATTGTGATCAATACAACGGCAGAATTAATGTAAAAATACCTTGTTTTTTTGCAAAGATTTGCTGGTTCCCAGTGATAACTTTCTGCAACGGCAGTATAGCAAAGAGTAGAGAGGCCGAGAGGTGAACCTTGGTGCGTTTTGATAACCCCCACTAGATGGCGCTGCCATTTTGGACTGAAAACGCCGAAGGGAGCAGTGCAATCCCTAGAGACTAGTAATTTAACTCAGAAAGTGGAATAAAAGAAGACGCTGAACCGTAAAAGCTATCAGTGTGACATTAACAGCTTATCAACTGTTATATTAGACAATAGACAACATCCAAAACATGGTAATAATTTATCAGCAGTCTGGAGAGTTGCCATGCAGACAACATATGTGAAATTGCTCATCTGATGTATAGACTGCACAGCAGAAGTCTGGACGTATCTTTGCTCTGGGTTCTAGCACATGTTGGCATTGAAGGTGGTGAAGAAGTGGACACACTGGCCGAGCAATCAGTAAAAGTACTGACAGTAAATATAGAAATATTTTTAAGAAAGGATGAGATCAAAATCATTATCAAGGAACTTGTGTCTGGCAAGAGAACTGGGATGTCTTTGACACAGGAAGACATATTTACAGTTTACAAAAACATGTTGGAACCGCAACAATAGGGAGGGACAATATGATGAGCCAGAAACAGTCTAACACAACACAACACAACACAACACAACACAACACAACATAACATAAAACCTGAGTGTGAACTATTATAAAAAACAAAGATATTTAATATGAGCAGTAAAGGAACAGAACTGGAAGTCGCCTTACAGTCTTTTAGCAAAAGCGGAGAGTGTTCACACTCCAGACCAGATGGTGGCGCTAACGCACCCATGAGGTCGCTGCCAACCGCCAATAAATTCTACAGCAGAAGCAGAAGCAGCTGTCGCTTCAATGTTTGTCCCTTTGTTGACGAGCAACAGAGCATAACGTGTAGGCGACGGACAAATTCTGAACATGGACCTCATCGTTGAAGATATTTACGAGAGCAGGGTAAAGGAGGAGAACCAGGACTCGCATTTCATCGACCAGGACAGCTCCAAGAGCGGGATAAAGGAGGAGAACAGAGACTCGTATTTCAGCGACCATGACAGCTCCATGAGCGTAATAAAGGAGGAGAACCAGGACTGGCATGTCAGCGATCATGACAGCTCCAAGAGCGGGATGAAGGAGGAGAACCGGGACTCGGACCACTGGAGCAACCATTCCGCTGGTCCCAGCGATCAACAGGTCAGTCGGTGTTCAAGCCTTAACGCTATAAACACTGGATAAAAACGTTAAAAATAAGATTCGGTACGAGACTAAAGACACAAGGGCTCGAGGGTTCGTCAGTTCAGATCTGGAAAAAAAGGTTCAGGAACCGTGTTAACGTATTTTTAGACCGGTTGTTTCCTGGTTTCACGTCGGTATTGGTTGCACTTGCAGTGGGTTTCACCCTGGCTGTCATTATGCTAATAGGACTAAAACCGAGCACTAATTATGGACGTGAAAATGAGCTGAATTAGTCCAGACCAGGGGTTTTCACTGTGTGGGGAGGTGAGCCTCCACTCGTGACCCCGAATAAACTGTTAAAGGTCCTCGGGTTGTTTACTTCAGAATCAGCTTTATTGTGTTGGACACGAGGAATCTCACTGTGGTACATCGGCTCTCAGTGTGTATGTGCATGTCCTTATGTCAGGTAATAGCAAGGGGCAAGTAAACATTATACCAATATAAGGCTGTATAGCATAACAAAATAAACAGTATAAACAATGCAAACAGACAAAGGGATATTCATTAGGAAACGAGATAAAATAAGAATAAAAATAGAGTAATTAAAAAATAGAAACCTGTACGGATCTCTATAATCTGGACAATGTATATTTACAGGTGTTGCACTGAGGGTTGTTGTCCAGTCATATGGTCATGGGTTAAGTGTTCATCAGAGCGACAGCCTGGGGGAAGAAACTGTCCCTGTGCCTGGTTGTCTTAGTGCACAGTGACCTGTAACGCCGTCCAGAGGTGAGGAGTTCAAACTGATTGTGTCCTGGGTGTGAGGGGTCTGCAGTGATCCTCTATCTGTCAGGAAGCTAGTAATCCACTGACAGGTGGGGGCAGGCACAGTGAACTGGGTCAGTTTGGAGTGGAGGATGTCCGGGATGATGGTGTTGAGCGCCGAGCTGACGTCCACAAAGAGAGAGTCGAGGTGTTGCAGGATGCAATGCAGTGCCATGTTCATTGCATCGTCCACTGACCTGTTTGCCCGGTAGGCGAACTGCAGGGGGTCTACGATGTCCTTCAGGTGGGCCAACACCAGTCTTTCAAAGGACTTTATAACTGCAAAATGTGACATTTTACATTCATTTACATGATATTATTGGATTATAGTGGCTGATGTATTATTGTGTTCATATTAAGTTTCTTTTATACTTGTACAGTGAAGTACTTAACATACTGCTTGGTAGCTTGTGGATTTTCTCCTGGGCATGAGTAGAGCCTGATGATTGTACTGTATCTTGTTTTAGCCATCTGATTCTGAAAAGGAGCTAAACTTGCAGTCACAGTGTTTTATTTTAATTGTGAATGGAGGACCAGTCGCCTGACACTGAGTCACTGTAACTGTGAAACCTAAACTCTTGAGCACCGTGCAGTATTGAAGCGTTACAAGGCTTTCACCATGTATTGTATAGCTGCTCTGCCATACATTAACCCTGTCCTCACTCATTTTCCATCATGCTGTGTTCACTGGGGTCTGTGTTGCACCTGTAGAAGCTAAAATAACATCAATACAATGATGGAAGATGCAGTGAACATCAGCTGAAGGTCAACTGGTTGTAGCAATGCTACAGAATCTGATGGTCACAGAATAAGTGTAACACCAGCAGTAGACTTGGCACTCGTCCTTCCCCTGTTACCAACATGAACATCATAGTACTTTCAGACACATGGCCATGTGCATGAGTGGTTTGTAGGCATGTCCCCCCCGAAACAACTTTTTAAAAACAAAATAATTTTGTTGCAACAGGCAGAAATGCATTAGTCAGACTTGAACACTGTAGGTTATGATCCACAGACATGCTGCAAATGTTAAATGTGTTCATTTTATAGCATCTCACTCTCTGTGTCTCTCTTTTTATATCTGGGTATGTCTGTGTGTCACTATGGAAACAGGGAGGCGGAAGTGGACTGAAACATCATCACTATCAGGACTGTGACAAGACCTTCACGACATCCAGTGATTTGGACACTCATCAGAAAGTTCACACCGAGGACAACCCATACAGCTGTGACCAGTGTGGTAAAGCATTCGGAGTCTTAAGTGACCTGAATGAACATCGACGTATTCACACTGGGGAGAAACCTTACTGGTGTGACCATTGTGGTAAAACGTTCTCTCACAACAGCGTGCTAAAGGTTCACCAGTGTGTTCACACTAAGGAGAAGCCGTATACCTGTGACCAGTGTGGCAGAGCTTTTACACAGAAAGGTAACCTTAAAGTTCATCAGCACATCCACACTGGAGAGAAATCTTACCATTGTGACCAGTGTGATAAAACCTTCTCTCATAACAGTGCCCTAAAAGTTCACCAGCGTGTTCACACTAAGGAGAAGCCGTATACCTGTGACCATTGTGGTAAAGCATTCTCTGATAACAGTACCCTAAAAACTCACCAGCGTATTCACACTAAGGAGAAGCCGTATACTTGTGACCAGTGTGGCAAAGCTTTTGCTCGTGGTCATTGCCTTAAAGGACATCAACGCACTCACACTGGAGAGAAACCTTACTGGTGCGACCAGTGTGGTAAAACCTTCTCTCATAACAGTGCCCTAAAATCCCACCAGCGTGTTCACAGTAACGAGAAGCCGTATAACTGTGACCAGTGCGGCAAACCTTTTGCACGGATAAGTAATCTTAAAGTTCATCAACGAACTCACACTGGAGAGAAACCTTACTGGTGTGACCAGTGTGGTAAAGCTTTCACTCGTAACAGTACCCTACAAACTCACCAGTGTGTTCACACTGAGAAGCTGTATGCCTGTGACCAGCTTTTAAACAGATATGGATTCCTAAAGTTCATCAAAGCACCCACGCTGGAGAGAAACCTTACTGGTGTGAACAGTGTGGTAGAACTTTCTCTCAACACGGTACCCTAAAACCTCACCAGCCTGTTCACATCGAGGAGAAGGAAGTCTTCTCTCTGTAACAGTCTGGGCATTCAGAATTGAGATGTAATAAACATCAAAGTGGCCACGGCATGTTCATTTAACTCGTTACCAGCCATTTAACATTTATTCTTGGGTACCTCTAGATTAGCTTTGCACCTCTCATAACTCCAAATAGTCTGTAATTATTTCAGAATGATAAAACCAGAGAGCTCCTTCCTAAAAACGAGAGGGTAGTTTGTGAATACGCACAGCTCCTGTTGGCAGTGTTGTGTTGAAAGTGGACAGCACAATGAACTGCAACGGCATTAATTAATTTGAATTTCTCCTCCATCGGTAGGTAAACAACGGTATATGTACCGATGAAGAGAGATTTGTAACACTAAACAACAATGTCGAGTATTTACTATGTATTTTAATTTGTGTAATTAGTCATTATCTTAATCACACTACAGTTAAAGGAATAGTTTGGGATTTTTAATGTTGCTGTTAAAACAGTATTGATGTGTCCCTGGACATTTTCAGTATGTTTACTGATTGATAGTCTACTCTTGTTAACCGACAAGATTAAAATGCTAGTCTATTTAGAATGGATGAGTCTGTGGCCTGTTAAAAATAATACTGTATTTCCATGAGAGTTTTAGTTTTTACATGTGCAGTCATGGCATAAACAACAGAACAAGAACTTGAACCTGAACAGAACACACATGGTCACAACACACATCTGTGGAACTGTGAACGGAGTAAAACAGCCTAGTAAAATAGTTTGTGTGCTGCCGACCTGAGATAGCTCGTGTCACTTTAGGGGTGTGTGATAGCGTTTTAGATGTGGGCTATAAGTTGCCTCCTTTCGGAGTAAAACGAACCGCTTTCATAGCCGGTATTTCTCCAGAAACTCTTTCTTTAATGTAGATATAGCCTAGACTTTGAGAAAATCACCTGGCATGAATTTCAGTGATGAATTCGACCTTAACATCAATAAATGACAGCTGCATGTGATGCAATGTTTAAACTGTGACCTATTTAAATTGACCATATACAGTGCCTTGCGAAAGTATTCGGCCCCCTTGAACTTTGCGACCTTTTGCCACATTTCAGGCTTCAAACATAAAGATATAAAACTGTAATTTTTTGTGAAGAATCAACAACAAGTGGGACACAATCATGAAGTGGAACGAAATTTATTGGATATTTCAAACTTTTGTAACAAATAAAAAACTGAAAAATTGGGCGTGAAAAATTATTCAGCCCCTTTACTTTCAGTGCAGCAAACTCTCTAAAGAAGTTCAGTGAGGATCTCTGAATGATCCAATGTTGACCTAAATAACTAATGATGATAAATAGAATCCACCTGTGTGTAATCAAGTCTCCATATAAATGCACCTGCACTGTGATAGTCTCAGAGGTCCGTTTAAAGCGCAGAGAGCATCATGAAGAACAAGGAACACACCAGGCAGGTCCAAGATACTGTTGTGGAGAAGTTTAAAGCCGGATTTGGATACAAAAAGATTTCCCAAGCTTTAAACATCCCAAGGAGCACTGTGCAAGCAATAATATTGAAATGGAAGGAGTATCAGACCACTGCAAATCTACCAAGACCTGGCCGTCCCTCTAAACTTTCAGCTCATACAAGGAGAAGACTGATCAGAGATGCAGCCAAGAGGCCCATGATCACTCTGGATGAACTGCAGAGATCTACAGCTGAGGTGGGAGACTCTGTCCATAGGACAACAATCAGTCGTATACTGCACAAATCTGGCCTTTATGGAAGAGTGGCAAGAAGAAAGCCATTTCTTAAAGATATCCATAAAAAGTGTCGTTTAAAGTTTGCCACAAGCCACCTGGGAGACACACCAAACATGTGGAAGAAGGTGCTCTGGTCAGATGAAACCAAAATCGAACTTTTTGGCAACAATGCAAAACGTTATGTTTGGCGTAAAAGCAACACAGCTCATCACCCTGAACACACCATCCCCACTGTCAAACATGGTGGTGGCAGCATCATGGTTTGGGCCTGCTTTTCTTCAGCAGGGACAGGGAAGATGGTTAAAATTGATGGGAAGATGGATGGAGCCAAATACAGGACCATTCTGGAAGGAAACCTGATGGAGTCTGCAAAAGACCTGAGACTGGGACGGAGATTTGTCTTCCAACAAGACAATGATCCAAAACATAAAGCAAAATCTACAATGGAATGGTTCACAAATAAACATATCCAGGTGTTAGAATGGCCAAGTCAAAGTCCAGACCTGAATCCAATCAAGAATCTGTGGAAAGAACTGAAAACTGCTGTTCACAAACGCTCTCCATCCAACCTCACTGAGCTCAAGCTGTTTTGCAAGGAGGAATGGGCAAAAATTTCAGTCTCTCGATGTGCAAAACTGATAGACATACCCCAAGCGACTTACAGCTGTAATCGCAGCAAAAGGTGGCGCTACAAAGTATTAACTTAAGGGGGCTGAATAATTTTGCACGCCCAATTTTTCAGTTTTTTATTTGTTAAAAAAGTTTGAAATATCCAATAAATTTCATTCCACTTCATGATTGTGTCCCACTTGTTGTTGATTCTTCACAAAAAAATTACAGTTTTATATCTTTATGTTTGAAGCCTGAAATGTGGCAAAAGGTCGCAAAGTTCAAGGGGGCCGAATACTTTCGCAAGGCACTGTATATAAGAGTCAGGCTGCCATATGGATTTGTCAGAATACCAAGACAAGCAGCACACTTGTATTTCTGTTGGAAAAAAAATGCTCTAATAGGCTTTTTTTTCTTCTCAGACATGGTTTTACATGGAGTTTACTAACAAGTTTAAGCTTCTGGGGGATAACAGTGGTGCGTTGCGTAGAGTAGTCGTCTCCCAACCAGAAGGTTGCAGGTTTGAATCTCTGTGCCTGCAGTCCACGTGTCAAAATGTCCTTGGGCAAGACACTGAACCTCCCCAGTTTCCCGTGATGGTTGCACGTATGCACGCAGCGGCCCGGGGCCCTCGGCTCCAAACTAAATTTTGTTGTACGTGTCACAAAGCTACAATGACAATAAAATAAAGCTTCTTCTTCTCCTGTCAGTTAACCAAAGCACATGTTGTTACTGTGTGTTCGATGTTTGCCAGCTTGCACTGCGAACGATTCCTCTTATTTATAATTCCTCATTGAAATGTTTTCCCTGCACAATTTTATTTGCTTCCTAGTCCCGTTCAGATGGATACATGTCACAGAAACAGTCAGTAAACGACTGTGTGTTGCACTTTGATGGTGATGGGTAAAAAAAAGTGGGCTCACATAACGTTAGGCTTTGCAAAACCTTCTTTTCTGCAAAACAGTCTTTTCTTTTGTAAAAGTAGACCACGATGTTTGAAACACTTCTAAAAAAGTACAAACCTCACCTTGTATGTGGCTTGTCCTGGTGGGTTCTGTTGTCTTTTTCTCCTCGTTCTACAATTTGCTAAACACTGTAGGTCCGACCTTAATGTGCATCCATGTGTCGGACAGTCACCACTGAAGTGGGTATCCCCCCGACCACAGGGGGAAGTATTGAGCAAACTGCTGCTTGGCACACCAAAATGGGGAGAAGAAGACGACAAACTACCTGGTGGGGCTGCCTTCTATTATGATGCACACTAACTGACACAAAATAATATAAAAACAAAGGCAGGACTAGAAGCGTCTCGGTCGACTGACAGGTCTCCCGACTAATGACTCCACTATTCGACTATTAGGGGGCAGCCCTAGAATTCCTATTGTCAGTTAATGGTTAAATGGTTAAGGGTGTGCATCTATAATCCCTCTGTATGTGAGAGTACGTCTTCTCCTACTCTTCACACTGACACTGAATGTTTCCACCTGAAATGTGACTATGCTGCAAAAATTAGGGACACAATAAACAATTCTTGTTCTGTTAAAAACAAGCACCGCTTTGTCTGAGGCTCAATGCAGCTTTTGTTGCCCCACTAAGCTAATTAGAGTCAGAACATTTCAAAGCTACAGACTATTTAAGACAAATATTCCCTCTTATTTCCCTGGATAGTAGTTTCTTTTTGAGCTACAGCGGAGGGATACGTTATAGTAGCAGTGTGTAAGTCCTATTGGGATTGAGTGGTGACACTGTAGCACGTATGGACAGCAGTCTCTGATGGACCAAAGTCTCAGTCTCCATCTAGGATGTTCCATGAACATGTTTTCACAGACACAAAGAAAATGTACAGAGGTCTTTGTCCTGGTAAGAAGAGCTGCATTACAGGACACTAAACTTGGACCAGCTTGGTCCAGCTTTATCACCCCAAAGGAGGAAAACTCTGTAAGAACAAACACTCTGAGACTTCTCTTATCAATGGCAAACAAATATTTCTAGATAAAGTTGAAAGGACATGCATCACCCATTGCATTCCCCAAGACATGGGCCATAAAGACCTGAACACACACCTGCTGTTAAGGCATCAACTCCCCTGTCTCCACTGCTCCTTTTGCACAGCTGAGACCAGCTAAAGCAGCCCCCCACAGCAGCTTTGATGGCCCAGGCTTTCAGGTCATAAGTTCTGGCCTTCAGCCGGCTCTCCATCATCACACGTTGGACTCACAGGGACATTCTGATAATTCAAAATGTTACAATGTTTTGTTGTGGTTTATATATGTTCAAATTATATCTACAGAATGACCCTTTACTCATTTCTACCTACCATACTTTATCTAGACAGGCTAGTGTGCATTTATCAGGTAGTTTGAGAATTCTTTGTGCATGAATGAGATGTTTACTGATGTGTGTGTGTGTGTATACTGCTATGTGGTTAACCAGGCTGAAGATTGATAATTTGATTAGTTATTTAGTCATAATAATTCTAATAAATTCTGGTCAGTCCACCATAAAAGAGACCAAGGCAATTGTTTTATTTCCTAAATGTGTTTGAGACAGATATGCTAGTGGAGTGTTAGAAGGGGTGGCTGTCGTCTCTCAATAAAACATCATATACAGTATATATACTGTTTAATTTCTCTGATTCACTTGCTCTGCAGAGCAACTCAGCTTGTGTTCTTATTAATAAAAGTCTCTTAACAGAAGATCTGCCTTGGACCTTCATTTTGCCATAACAGTGATGCAAAGCCATCACTTTGTCTTCATAAATGTAGAATAGAATTTTAAATACAAAAAGAATATTAGTGAAAGGGGTCCGGAGGGATCTTGTTTTGTATACGCTGCTTTTCTGTTGTGTTACCAGCTGATTGTGTTACGTTCTGTTCAGTAAATGTAACTGTTGCTGTCTGTTCAACATGCTTCCTGCCAAGGCTGCTGCTTTAATCATCGGAGCTGCAGACTTGAGACTTGGACTTGAGTCGTTTTCAGTCTTCTCCTGATTGTATGAGGATGAAGAGCCTGATGAAGACCAGGCCCAGTGGTAGTTTGGAGAGTCCAGTGATTTCTGCACTGTTTTCTTCGGTGACACTAACACTGGGACATGTTCTTCCTTGTCACTAAACCTTTCAAACTCTTTTATAAATGTGTTGGTGGTTGTTGGTGGGGAAACCAAAATTCATGCACAAATCGATTGGTGACATTTACAACTGTGATTTTATGAACAGGAAGACAGGAGTGAAGCTAAACCCCAAAACCAGAGATTCAGGTAGAAGCTACAAAGCGCTAAGAGCTGAAGACAGAGACTTTTAAAACCTCAGATTTGTCTCTAGTCTCTGGCAAAGTTTAGCCACTGAGGACAGGAGGAGACGGGCACCTCTTGGTTGTGGTCGACTCTGCTACTTGGCTGAACCACAGCTGTACCAGTAAAAGGATCCAACAACGGCCAGGAGAAAACCCTAAAAGGGAACCACGCCATTGTCCCGATGGCCACTGTAATTCCAGGTTTGTCAAAATGTCTAACCCCCTGTTATTGAATCAAAGCCATCATGCAACCAGTCTCTGTGATGTAGTTTTTGGCCGCCTACTAGTGTTGGTGGTTGTATCACAGTTATTCAACATTGTTTAAGACGAATTCAAAGAAAATACTCAGTGCGTGGTGGAGGTGGGTGGGCGTGGAAGAGAAAGTGATGGAGGCAGCTCTGGCTCCGTGTTGCTGGACCAGAGACCGAACCTCTCTCCTCTGGCCAACCTCCCTGGAACATCAGTCCCAGTTCTGCATGTGGCTGCTGGAGATGCTACCTTCCCCCTCCGCAGCAATCTGATGCATCCATGTCAAGGTGTGCGTGGAGAAACTGCCCTTCATATTAAAATCAGTGCCACACACTGTTCACCAGCTCCCAGTCCACTTCATTCAGTCTGTCCTTTGAGGAGCTGAGGCGGTGAAAAGTGGCATCTAATGATAACATCTGTGTACTTTTACTGTGATATTTAACCCGCATAGAGATCCGTTTGTCTTGTGTCAAGCAGGAGGGGAGCTAGCGAGCGTGAGCTTCCAGTGATCGCGAGAACACCGAGAAATGCGGAAAACAACGAAACAATCACAGGCGGAGCGATAATGTAAGGACAGCGGAAGGATACCTCTAGTCCTTGCTTTAGCACTATATTAGCACCGCACCACGACGTGCGTCATTTTCCTTCCAGAGGAGCAGCTAACGAAGTAGGAGCATTGTCGGACATCGCTCTGTTTTGCCGAAATGGCAGTGTAAACGCGTGCAGCGACCCAGCAGCAGCCAACAAAACAGTGCATCCAACCAGTGCACTGAGTTACTTCTAATTCAGCAAAAATGTCGTAAGTATTGGTTTTATTATTTAAGTTGTATAACATTTGTTCGATGTCAGGTCTCGGGCCTACAGCGGCCACGCCCCTAATCTGCCACATTGGAGCTCAAATATGTTTAAGATGAGTTTGAGAGTTTACGGCTGTTGTGTACTGAACTGTTGAATGGCTGGATACGGTTTTTATTCATGTAAATTAAAATACTGGTATTTTTAGTCATTGGATAGATACTTTATGTATTAGAAATGTTTAGTGGAGATAGGATGTCTAGTTAGACTGTTAAATGCTTAGTCATGCTTATGAGTTTCTACAGGGTACATCTGGTCAAAGATAACTAGAGAGAAGAGTTGATGACTGTCAGCAGACAGGGTGTCAATGAGATGATGTAACACGTGGTGTCACTGTGAAATGTTAAATTGTGGTGCTGTTCGTTCAGCTGATCTTCCTGCTTTGTATCAATATTAAAGTAATGGAGAATTTACTACAGTTTTATCACATTTTAATGTCGTGATCGCAATTAATGCCATCGTGGCAGTCAGAAAATGGTTCGTTTTATCTATGGGTCAAAATGGCGGCTCCCTGTTGGAGGAGTAAGAACAAAAGTGTCTGCAGACAGGGAGGGACTCGGACGTCACGGTCACGAGCTTGTGCTGGGTGGAGGCACGTGATGAGGCAGAGCCAGTGTCGTCACACTGGGGACAGGAGTTATCTCATGAGATCAGAGTCTCAGTTGTCTACGTTGTTAAAGTGACCTTCCACATTGAAATGTCCTACTATTTAGTTTCTTGAGGTGCTGAAGTTATTATATTTAGCAATCTACGTACATGGAGTTTCAATGCAAAAGATGAACTTGTATGGTTTGATTTGTGTGAGCTGTTGTGTTTTTGTGATAAAGTTACCTAACCTTCATCATAGCAGAAGCTGTTGGCATCATCTACATACGCACAGGGATTCCTGTGCGGTCAGTTTAACATAAACATGTTCGACCTGACTGACAAGTAAAGACAGTGACGCCTTTTGACTTTATGATTAAATGGAGCTGAGGTATGAATGTCATTAGTGCCTTGGTTCAAATGTTTGGGTTGTGCCTGTGACAACAGCAGAATAATTCAAATTATATAAAGTTGTTAAAATGAGCTGCAGCATTAAAGCAATGCAAATAATATTCAGTTATAAACAAAATTGTGAAATGTTCCATTCATACACTGTCTATATTGGTACTATCAGGTTTATTTTGATGTACATTTAAATAAAAATGTGAATAACTTGTTCTAGTGTTTGAACGCTGATTTTTCTACTTTAGTTAAGTAAATGACCGGTGTACTATGCACATTTGTAATGTTGCCAGAGTTCTGAATATTTTTGTTTAGGCTTTAATAACCATAATAAATAGTGGTTATTCAATTTGATAGTGATGTTCAGATTTTCATCTCCAAGGTTTTATTCTTTCTTATTCCTCAGGTCTTACACGGAAACCCTCAGCACTGCTGCATTCGACAGCATAAAAGAATTCAACACTCTCCTAGCATCATCACGCACTCCGTTCGTGACCAACAACAGCCACTATGACCATGATGATGACAAACTCACAGTTTGGCCTGGAAGACATGGAGGACCTTTTCTGGGCCTCCTCTCCCATGGCTGACGTCATGGGCTCTGCGTTCTTTCACCCTGACCTAGAAGAAAAACAGGAAGGAGGAGGAACCTCACTGGAGGGGGGCACCTCACCTGCGTCACCTCTTACCACCTCATCGCTGTCTTCTTCCTCCTCTCCTCCTCCCTTCTACTCTCCTCGCTCGCCACCGGCCGCCCTCCATGGGGACAAAGCTGGGACTGAGTCTGACGTGCTCTCCCTCCCCTGGCTGGGCCACCCTGGTCCACTGAGATGCAGCCAGATGGCGTCTGATGACTGTAAAGGTGATGACATTAAAATATAGTTCATTGCTAATAATTAAACACATTTAATGATGTACTTAGCATCTACCAACAGTGCCTGTGTAAAGTGATATCGTTCACACTGGTTCAGCTCTTTGATATATTTCCTTGTTTACTTCTACAGAGGATGCATTTTGTGACCTGGACTGGATGGCTGAGAGGGTGGATCTGAGAGAGTTTGACCTGGACTCTCTAATTGGCTCCTGCAGCACCACCGAGGACTCCACCAGCTCTCCAGAAGACCTCCTGGCCTCCCTAGATTGCCCCATGGAGCTCGACTCCCTCCCAATGCCCAGTCACTCAACTCCTACACCCCCGAGTTTGTCCAGTGCGTCACCTCCTCCTGTCCTTCCCACTGTCTGTCCAGATCTTCCTACCATTACAGTGAATGGTTCTGAATCCTGTGTTGATGAGCAGGAGCCCCCCTCTCCTCCCCTGTGTGTCCCAGAGCCTCAAGAGGAGCTTGAAATCAAATCTGAGACAGCTTCCCCTGAGCCGTCTTCTCCCTTGGTTGACTCTCCTTCCTCACCAGCCTACACCCTGGACCTGGGCAGCGAGGTGGATGTCTCAGAGAGTGAGGTGAAGCCAGTGGTAGCTGCTGTGATCCCTCAGGTCCCGAGGCTGGTGCTCTCCCTTTCCCCGACCCGCATCGTCCTCGTTCTGGCTCCTAAAAATGAAGTCGAGGTCACCACCAGTACTGTAACCACGACATCAGAACTCACTCATCCCCCCACCCCACAAAGGTCCTCCAGAAGCAGACCATACCCTGAGCCCAAATGCAAAGCCAGCCCACCCTCTCCCAGTGTCAAGGTGAAGGCGCTGCAGGGTGCGGGTGGCGATAACAGGGCAACTTTCAAGGCACCTAAGGACAAGAAAGTAAAGAAGATGGAGCAGAATAAGACGGCTGCTACGCGCTACAGACAGAAGAAAAGGGCGGAGCATGACAAGCTCAGTGAAGAGCATGCACTGCTGGAGAGGAAGAACATGGAGCTGACGGAGAAAGCTGAAAGTATGGCCAGGGAGATAGAGTATCTGAAAGAGTTGATGGAGGAGGTCCGCCTGGCCCGGATGAAGAAAGGTGTTGGTGCTGACCCCTAGTGGTTGGACAGTGTGTGTAATAGGAAGTGGGGATTTTTCAAGGTCATGGCACTGCTGATTTTATTTCTTGAAGGCAGACATGTCAGTATATGAGAGTAATTCCTTTTAAGATATCCAACACTGGTATTACATGTAGAATATATCTAGTCATATTTAGAGTAGTCCTATAGAGATAAGTATTTTCCATTCAGTATATGCGCTTGTGTGCTGTTTCTTATGTGTTTCCTAAATCTGAATCTCAGTAACTTGTAAGATTCTTAACTTGTAAAATGTGCATGTTGTAGTGTAACAGGACCCCCTGTATAGTCAGTCTGCTAATAAAGAGTCTTAAACCTGGTCGGTGTGATTCTTGGAGGGTAAATGTTGGCAAAGTGTTTTTTCTTAATAGTAAAAGTTGTAGTGTAGAAGTAAACAATCCCTGTAGCCTTTCATCAAATGTTGATGCACTTGTTTTAATTTTATGCTGTAACAGAATAAGAAGAAATTAAATGGTGACTGTGCCATGTGCAAAGATTTGGGCACTAACAAGTCAGTGCTTAGAGATGGACTTTTGCCGCCCATCACTTCAAGGTCTGGTATAATTTGGATTTTCTTGCATGCAGTTATGTTAAAGGGGGGTACAAAAATGTGCATATACACGCACATACATACACACACACACAGTGGGTACGGAAAGTATTCAGACCCCCTTAAATTTTTCACTCTTTGTTATATTGCAGCCATATGCTAAAATCATTTAAGTTCATTTTTTTCCTCATTAATGTACACACAGCACCCCATATTGACAGAAAAACACAATGTTTGACATTTAAGCAGATTTATTAAAAAAGAAAAACTGAAATATCACATGGTCATAAGTATTCAGACCCTTTGCTGTGACACTCATATATTTAACTTAACTGGTTGTCTCTAAAATACTCCTATAGAAGTAAACAGTCAAAACAAACATCACAGTTCCATTTTATTTTCAGCTTCACATAAAGATATGCTTTTTCAGTTCATTTTACTTGTTCAGTGAGAGAAATCCAGTCTGGCTTGGCCTTGAACACGTGCGTTGAAATGTGGCTGAATATCTGAGGTGGATATGCGAAGGACAGCTGAGAGGTGATCATCACTGATAGAGGATCTGTATCTGGATTTGTTGAACTTCATCACTGAGAATGTCTGTTCACATATGTAGGTAGATCCAAAGACTTCCTGCAATGTCCTCAACCCTCGTCGTTACAGTGTGTCAGGAGAGGAGACGTTCTCATATGCGCCCTTTTTCTCCGGGCATATTAGTGCTGCAGAGTCCAACAAACGCTCTTTAATAAACTCTCCGTCAGAAAATGGCTTACTTTTTCTGGCGATTTTGTGGGATATGACATTTTGAGGGTTAGCTGGCCAACATCACCTGTCTCTCATTGGGTAGGTTGGGGATCTTAAGTTCACCCATGAGGATGTAAAAGAAGACAGTCTGTCTTTCTTGGACTGTGCTGTCCGAGTTGAGGAGGAGAGAAGCCTTAACCTAAGGGTTTACAGAAAACCTACACACACTGATCAATATCCTGTTTGATTCTCATCACCCGCTGCAACAGAAATTAGGCGTCATCAGAACTCTACAACACACTTGTTCTGATTGATGGACCTCACGCGGGCCGGACAGGGACCCCCAAGGGCCGGATGTGGCCTGTGGGCCGTAAAAGGCCCAGGTCTGATCTAAAGCATAGACTAACTGTCCATCAGAGTGACGGCCTGGAGGGAGAAACCGTCCTTGTGTCTGGTTGTCTCTTACAGTGACCTGTAGCGCCGTCCGGAGGGGAGGCAACCTGTTTGGTTGCTGAGCCAAATGAGATGGACGGATGAGCAGGGGACAGATCTGATGAGTCCTCTGTTGAACTGAATCATTGTGTTGACCGCCTGTAGAAGAATCCATTCTGTCCTCTCTGTGTAGTATCACTGGCTGACAGTCCCAGAAGCTGGAAGATAGTATCTTAGATGAAGGCAGACTGAGGAAAGACAAAATGAACTGGGATCTTCCACCTTCTGAATGACTGCACACACCTGATCCAGGTAATCAGTGGCGGGTAGGGCGGGGATAGTTGGAGAACAAGCCGGGCAGCGGCACTCAAGGGCCTGGATTGCCTGTCCCCGGTGTAATGTGAACCACTGATTCATTGTGGGTTGAAACATGTGTGACTCTGAAGATGACAGCAGCCTATTCTGTGCTGAGGGTGATGACAAACATCTACTTGCACCAGTGCCACCAAGTGGCGGCGCTGCACAATTACTACTCCCCACACTGTCTTCCTGTCTGAATAGTAGTTTTCTTCCAGGACAAGTGTCCACCTGTAAGAACGGTGGCAAGAATTAAAATAACCCACAACAATCTATCCACATCTTTTATTGATGTCTAAGGATGGCATAAGTGCTGATGATGCAACCACCATTTAGGAAGGATCACACAGGATGTAACGTCACTTTGGCTACAGTAAAGTAGTACACAGTGCAAAATGTGTCGCTTAAAGCCTACAATGTAACATTTTACACTGTAAATAGACACTGTCTATACGATATATTCACAGGTGGAGTGGAACTCTACGACTCCAGATCAATGTTTGAAGCCTCCAAATATCAAACGGTAAAGTCGTGCTTGTCACTATGTGACGGGATGGAGCATCGAGGAAGCAATGTCAGGGTTTGTTTCACAGGCCTTTGTATAAAACCTTACACCATGGCAGTGGTATCGGTCACAGGATGTGTATGCTTTTATTGTTACCTTTGAGAGAGATTTTTTTTTTTTTTGCAGTTGTACGGGTAGAAATGGTTCTGATGTCAAACTAGAAATTCACATAGACTTGCTCAAGCAAGAGCCAGAGGAATGAGGAGTGAGGTTGCTGTCAGCTTTACAGGCACTCATTTATCTGCATGCGGTGGCTGAACATGCCTCTGAGAGCTGATTATATATTCATTTTTTTTCAAAACATCACTGTGGATGTCAGGAAGAGGTGTCTCAATGATGTAAAAAAAAGGTAGTCAAAGCCCTGTGTGAGCTCGAATGCCTCATGAGGTTATGTTGTTTCTGTAGCATGCGAACGTCTGTGGTAGCCTATAAGGATGCCGCTCCGCTGCAGGGCTGCACTCCCGCTCTCGCGCTTTGATGCTGAGGCACGTAGCTGAATCTGCCTTGTCGATAAATGCGCTGGATGCAAGACCACAAACCGTGAAGCAGAGCCTGCCCAAGCTGCTCCACAGGGATCTGAGACTGCAGCTCCTCTTGAGCATGAATGCTACAGCGAAGGTGGGAGGAAAATATGGGTTTACTACTGTAGATGGACTCAGTTTAACTCTTAGCACAAGAGAACCAAAGAAACCGGTTTTAACCCTGACTGTCCGACTCTCTTTTACTTCCAGTAAACTAAAACTAATAGATAAAACTTAATATGTGACTTGTGTCTGCAGCTTTACAATCAGATTTTGTCTGGAGGAGTCAATTCAACCCTGACATCCTGAGTTAAACTAATCCAATGTTAATGAAAAACAATATCACATCAGGAAATTACTGCATCTTATAGCTACCCTCCTCCTCCTCTTCCATTAACCAAGAGTGATAGAGCTGCTGCAGACAGAGTCCTACCCCCGAATCTGACTTAGACCTAACAGTGCAGTCTGAACACAGGGTTACAATGACAAGTAATTCTTTGCTCTGCAGTGTGAAACAGGGTCTGTTTAGCAGCAGCTGGTTTCTGTGAACATGCTAATGAACAGGGATCCAGCTCTGGTCCTGTAAAGCAAAAGCTTATTTCTCCTCCTCTTGGTTTTATTTTAACCACCGAGTCTTCACTCACTGTTCGTCCAGATCAGGCTTTGCTGTGATCAGTGAGTTCGGTCTTTGCATTTCTAACAAAAAGCTACTCATGATGAGACTCCCGTTCCAAACCTCTGTCTTTTCCCTAGAGCTCTTGAGATCTGGAGGGAGATCTAGATGAGGTTCGTGTTACATGAGGTGATGTCTGGGCCTACTGAAGACAGAAAAGCTGGACCGCTTTCCTTTCAGGGTGACCGTGTTACTGCAGCTGGCATCCTCGGCAGTCGTCCTCAGGCTCCGTGTTGTCAGAAGAGTAGGAGCTCTCCTCGCTCACTGGCAAATACAACAAACATAATGATGAAACTCAGGTGTATGGTTACATACTGATGTGTTTTAACTGCAACACGAGGTAAAAATCATTAAGCAGTAAATAACTTTGCCCAATATTTGTAAAACAACTGTGTGACTTACACCACTCATCCTGTACAGGCAGGAAGGCCTTGTCACCATTCTCCCTGATCATCTCCTCAATCTTATCCAGTAGGACGGACACACTCCTGTCTTTGCCAGGGGTCTTACTGTCCAGGACATGGTAATAGTTCCCGCAGTATTCGAGCAGTCTTTGCAGCTCCCGCCCGCCTCGGAGGATGTGCTCTTCAATGGGCGTGCGGCCCAGCCAGTCACCACAGCTGAAGAGGACCATGGTGTGGAGGCACGCGCTCTCACCAAACAGAGACTCTATGTGGGCCAGGAGCGTTCGCCTCTTCCTGGCTGTGAGGGATGAGACGACGGGGAGGACCAGCAGCAGGGTGTGGGGTCCGGGTCGCAGGAGGGCAGCTCCGCGCTGGGACTCCTGGTGGATGCGCTTTGGGGTTCGCCTCACCGAGAACCAGTCCCACCCTGGGGTGTCGACGATGGTGACCCGACGACCACATACGAGCGCCTGCCTCCTAAGGCACAGCTCTGTCTCCTGGCCCGACTCAAAGTAGCGACGGCCCAGGATGCAGTTCCCCACTGAGCTCTTTCCAACGCCCTTCCAGCCCAACAATAGCAGCCTCAGTTCTGTACACCCAGAGGACAGAGAGAGGAAGACTCATCAAGAAACACGTGAAGAAATTAGGAAGCATGAGAAACAGTGAGGCCAGTAGGAAGGAACACCCTGACAACAGTCATATTTACTGAGCAGCGATTATGGTGAGTTGTTTTCTCAGGAACAGCACGATGACACATGCACTCATCTCTCTCCCTCGCTGAATGACTCATTAGCTTACACACCAGCAAACACACACATGGTTCCCTTGTACCTCTGGGAGGTCCGCCGATCATCTGCTCCCTCTGCCTCGCATGCTCCTCCATCCTCATCCTCTCTTCCTCCAGAGCCTTCCTGGCCTGCTCTTCCTCCAACAGAATCAGCTCGTTCACCTCAAAGTACCAGCCTGCAGATCAGAATCAGTATGTGCAGTGTGTCAGTGAACTGATCTGGTGCAATGACTAATAGTCCAGTAATCAAATACAGAAGTGGCAGAGCGAGAGGCTCTGTTCTGTCACAGCACAAACCTTGGTTGTCAGTGATCAGTTCCTCCACCTTCTCCATCAGCTCAGGTACCTGCGTGTTGTCCTCTGTCTCTTTCAGAGTGTTATCAAAGGCATGGTACCTGCAGGTTGGACAACACCTTTTTAAAGGGGAACTCTACCAAATTTACACATGGAGCCCAGGAGCCGCCTCTCGGGCTTGAGATGCAAAATTGTGGGAAATGTAGAACTCAGCGATATTGAAGCTCGAACCACAATAGGAGATAAAAATCAGGATATCTCAGCTTCTGCAGCTTCAAAGACTGATGAAATATATGACAGAAGTCACACTGTTAAAAGGGTGCTAGCAGATTCAGCATCGCAGTCCTTTATCACACAGTATTAGCCCCACAGCAGGTGAAAAATGATTCACATCACTGCAGCAGAATCAGATATAAACTTTTAGATTCCATGCGTTCTTCTCCGTTTCAGAACCTGGCACCTACTTTACCCACAATCCAACAATGCATCCGATCAAATGATGAGATGATCATGGGGGGGGAGAGGCGAGCTCCGTTTTTCATTTATCGCACCCAGATTTAATCTCGCCAGTTGGGGACTGAACCAATCACAATCTCGCTTCCCTCACCTTTAGGCCACATGCACACGGGTGCTCCTGCTGAGCTGTGAGCATAGTTTAACGTGCGTCTCTACTGAACTGCAGCTGCAATGTTATCCAACCATAAGATTCAGTCTTGTTCTGGCTGCATGGCTCTAACAGAGACTCGTTACCGAGGGATTTACTGCTCCACGGATTCTGTGAAATCAAAGAGAGAGGAAATCAACTTCCTACCTGCTTCCACATCTCTCCACCAGCCACTGCAGGGCCTCTCCAGTGTTCGCTATGTGCTCCTCAATGAAGACACCTTTAGGCAGCTTGTCCACTGCGGTGAAGAGCACCATGGAGTACCTCCAGGTTCCTCCACCCAGGGCACCCAGCTGCTCCTCTGCAGCCCTCCTGTGAGCGTCAGTGAAAGGCTGGGTGACCGATACCACAAGCAGAATCGCATGGGGTCCAGGAGGGCAGAGAATGGCCCCCATGCATGGATCCTCACTGTCCAGGCTTGCCGGGGGCCACCGCAGGCTGTCTGACTCTGCGCCGGCGTTGTCATTGCTGTCATCTTCAGTGTCATCCTCCGGGTCAGGAGGGATGACCCATGGCGGGGTGTCGACCACAGTGACCCGTCGCCCATAGATCTCAGTCTGGCCCACATTGCTGTGAGTTGTCTCATTCCCGGTGTCGAAGACCTTGTCCCCCAAGATGGTGTTGGCGGTAGAGGTCTTCCCAGACTGTGGACCCCCCAGGATCAGAAGTCTGCGCTCAGGGGGGTGGCGGCCTCTGTGGTCACCTGGCGAAACAGACAGATTAGACTGGAGTCTAGTCAGGTGACCCTGAGCCTTCGCTTATGCTGCTATAGGCCTAGGCTGCCGGGGGGCCCCACGATGCTCTGAGCTCCTCTCCTCCCTGTCTCCATCCATCTATATGCCACCATTACACATCACTAACTGTGCCTCCTCTCTCCTGTAGTGTTAGAGAGGTTTTCCTCCCCGCTGTTGCCAAGAGAACAATAATAATAATAATAAGTTCTAGACCTTACTTTGTAAAGTGTCCTGAGACAACTTTTGTTGTACTAAACAGTACTGTGTAAAGTCATGCGCGGCCCAGACAGTTGCACAATATGACAGCTCTGATGTTTAGATCAAAACTCTGTAGAGATGCTGATGCAGCAACTATAACACTGGTGTACAGTACTAACATCCTATCAGAGGATATACATCCCATAAGACCCACTTACCAGAGTCAAAGGCAGAGGACACAGCAGCCATCTTGTGTGTGGAACCTCTGGCTTCCTCCTCCTCGGCCCCCCTCCTCCTCCTCCTTCTCGGCTCCACGGTGGATTCTTTTAATTTCTCTCTTCAGAAAACGTCGGGTCCCCGGTAGCGAGCGAAAGGCTGGCGGCTCAGATGCTTCTCGGCTCTCTCCTTCACTCTCACCCTCATTCTACTGCAGCGTAACTCTCTCTGTCTCCCCTTCTCACCTCATCCCTCCGCTGCCATTCAGCCTCTCCCCTTTTTTCTTTTTAATCTATTCTCTTCCACACCGTCTCCCCCCCACACTTCAGTCCTTTCCCCTGTATCTTCTCTGCCTTCTCCTTGTCTTCCAGTGCTCGTCCTTTTGTGGTATCTATGTGTCCGAGCACAGAGAAGACATTGTGCAACGCAGAA